TGCTGGGTGCGCTCGGGTTGCAGTCTTTTATAAATATATATAGCTCATCTTCTGTTTTTATTTCCAACGATATATTTTTGTTTTAATTCCAGAGATTGGTGCATCAGACTGGTTACTGAAAGAGTAGAAGTGCCTTTTTCTATTGTTTTTTTTCCTTTGTCTCACTTTTTCCTCCTCCCTCCCCACTTTGTTCACCTGCTCTTCTTTCTTCCTGAGTTTCCTCTCGTGAATCCACTTGTGAATCCACAGCTAATTCCTGAATTCCCTTCCTTTCAATGCTCCATGATGGTTCTGTCCCTTATATAAGTGAACTGAATAAAAATTCTGACCCTTAACACTGTTGTTTTATGGTATTTCACATTTTGGTGCAATAATATAGCAAATTATTGATTTTGAACTTTTTTAAAATAATTAATTACAATGCTATATTCAAATATTATGCTTGAGTTTAGTTATGATTGATAACTGAATTTTTGCATTGTAGTCTTCAGTGTCCTGAAATCTGTCTGTGCAGCTTTGCTGCTGTAGAAACACTTGACTTCATTGAAAATGTTTATGATATTTTTGCTTTATCAATAGGGAAAGTTCATAAGAACATTTAAAATGGTTGTAAATGTCTTATGCCATATTTCATCACTGACCCCAAAAATCTTGTAGAAGAAACGTCAGCACACATCAGCCAAGGTCTTCAGTAAGGTTGGTCTTGAAAAGCTCAGGTCACATAGTTTAAACATGAAATGACACTGGGTCCTTTATAGGGGCTGCACGTTTATTTCCACCAGTTATTTCTTAATACAGATACAGTATACTTTTCTCCCTCTGAAATGCTGTAGAATTTGTTTTGTGTTCACAAGTAATCATACATAGTAGATAACGTTATTCCACCTTGGTGATCAGGCCAAACTGATGAATATAAATATAATGCTATACGAATAGGGCTGTTTTTTTTTTTTTTTTTTTTTTTGTGGCTCTAAAAACCAAATTATTTCAACGTTAAGAACGCTATTTTTAAAATTAATTTAACTATTAATGCTTCTGAAGTGGAAGACTCCATTATCCCACTTGTCAGTGCTTTCCTGTTTTCTTTTATTATTATTATGTGCGTGGTTTAGTTGCACAATTCTGATTGGGCAAAACAAAGTGGGCTCGGTCAATTGGCTAGTTCCAAAACTTAGGACTAACATAGAAATAGTGGTCCGATCACACTATTTTAGCATGATTTCCTTGACAAAGGGTGTCGTGGGGAGTCATAATCGACAAATGGATGCTGTGACCCAAGATTCAATCATCTCCTCCCTTTTAATGTGGCTTAGTTCACAACAACTGATACCATGTCTGCGACACCATTTCAGAAAGTCTAGCATGTTTAATTTTCTGAACCATAAAGCTGCGGTCACACTGGCTTTTACTCCCATAGATTTCCATTCATATGCACGCTGATGCGTCAGACCGGAAACGCAGGGTCATTCGTTTTAGTTTCGCTGGTTGCTGCGGTGCAAAGTTCAAGCTTGGTGACCTCTGACCTGCGAAATCGCATCACTTGACAGCGTGAGACCAATTGAGGATAAAACATGACTTCTCTGGACCGAAACTTAAAACATGGAGCAATCGCTCGCTTTTTAAATGTCTAATAATCTTGTTTAATCCCGCCCCTTTTCACAGCGCCGTACGACAGAATTTTGCACACTCAAACAAAGCCGCCTTTCCACTGCACACGACATTTGGACACGACTGTCGGAAACGCCCCCTTGTGCCAGCCGCACAGTATTTTCAGTTTTGTCGTGCACCACGGGAAGAAGCTGATTCTCACGGTTTCCGAAATAAAGGCGGGCAAAAGCAAGAGCCTTTATTCTGTGCGTTTACATAGTTTAATGGATAAATGGATATTAGAAACTCATAGACCGCTAAAATATTGGAGGGAATGTGGAGACAACATTAAAAATATATTTTATTACTTTCTTTTATAAAAGAAAAGAAAGTAATTTGTTTTTATTTTTAAATATAGACTTTTTATAATTAATAAATAATATAATAACCAAATAAACTCCTATTTCTCATCTCGTGCGCACGGATCTGCTTTGACAACACTCGAATACGTCATATCCGGTCGGCAGGTCTCATACAGTCTAGTCGCAGGAGTTCAAATATTTCAAAGGATCCACAGCTCAATTCATACTGCTGAACATGACAAGCGACAGACCGGAAGTCATTCATTTCCAATGGAGAGTAGTGTGGGAGCTGCGTGGAGTTCCGAAGTTCTCTGTATGTGGAAAATTCGGGTCCGATTTGAGCTGCGGATCCGTTGAAATATTTGAACTCCTGTGACTAGACCGTATGCGACCGACCGACTGCATGTGATGTATTCCAGTGTTGTCTAAGCAGGTCCATGTGGGTGAGATGAGAAATAGTCATTTATTTGGTTATTTTTGGTAAATCAAAGTATTTAAAAAAAAAAAAAAAAACATTTCTATTCTTAAATGCAAGTAATAATGTTTTGTTGTCTCCACATTCCCTCCAATATTTTAATGGTCTAAGAGTTTCTAGTATTCATTCATTTATTCAACCATGATGAACGCAAAGAGAATATAGACTCTTGATTTTATTTCGGACACTGCGAGAACAGCTTCTCCCATGGTGGATGTTAGAACTAAAAAATTCTGTGCGACTGCCACAAGGGGCGTAATCCGACAGTCGTGTCCAAATTTCGTGTGCAGTGGAAAGGCAGCTTAACGCATGACCCTGCGTTTCCGGTCTGACACATTCGAGTGCGTATAAATGGAAGTCTGTGGGGAGAAAAGTCAAGTGTGACCGCAAGAGCTCTCTACTTTTCATCTTCGTCATGAAGAGTCCCCCTTTCTGCCTCTACTCCTCTCCTTCTCTAATAGGGCAGCATAGTGGCCCAGGACTTAGCATTGTTGAATCACAGCAAGAACGCCGCTGCTTCGGCCCCTCTCCGAATCAGTCTGAGTTTCTGTGCAGAGTTCGTGTGGGGTTTGCTGGTTTCCTCCCAACGTCCAAAGACATGCATCATAAGTAAATTAGCTACTTCAAAATAGCATCTTAATGCAACTGTTAGTCGCATACATCTCAGCACGTACACAAGCAGGGCAGTTCTTGAGACTTGCCTGAGCTCAAACTCCCCACGCCCTTCAAAATGGGAGGAAACCCTAAGCTCAAGGATATTCTGAGCTCAGGGCTCTGTCCCGAGACAGCATGCCAAATACGCTTTATCAATCATCAGCTAAGTGTCAACTCTTTAAATATATTTTACATTGCAGCCTTTTGCAGTTTAACTAATTACAACGTTTCATATTATGATTCGATTAATCACACAGCCCTAATACAAAATGTGTGAGACCACTGAAATGTGTTATTAAAATTATCATAAAAGGGAACTGTTATTTAAGCCTTGTAGTCTTTAATGGCTGAAATTGCAATGTTCTCTGAAAAGACCATCGAATTTAAGCTTGTTTGCAAGGCTCAAACAATACTAAGTATGAATCACAACATCTAGCTGGGGATTATACAGCAAACTTTAAAAGTGGAGAAAACTGAAAAGATGTTCCACATTAGTCATTGTGAAGGAGAAATGTTCAGGGGAGGTAATCAGTGATCTGTTGTGTAGGACAGAAGACCAGAATCATGTGATTTGTACAGTAAACACCCTACCATGCACAGCTGAAAGCGGTTTATTGATTCAAACAAAGTGAATATGTTTTATGAAAAAAGAGACATGTGCTGACAATGATAAATGAGACATTCAGGATGACAAGCCGCCTTACAAAAAGCAAAACCTGTCAATTGTATATCCTTTATTTACCCAATGTTAAATTGATCAGTTATTCTGGTGTTCCCTAAGGTCAGCTGGTAAAACATTAAATACACAATCATATCGAGTTTAGTTGTAGATTTAGACCGTGTCAAATGTCATTAACACATGTCAGAGAATAAAGTCACCCTATTTTGGGGCTGAACTTTTAATTTTGTTTTGTTGAACACAAAATAATTATATAAAGAAGTCCTGGTAATTGACATTAGGAAATCAAATATGCAAGTCAATGGCTACCAATTTACAGCATAACTCAACAAAAAAGATTTTGGATAAGAGGGAGTAAATGCATGACTTCTATTTTTAGGTATTCATCGTTTATTGCGAATGTGTGATGCCATTTGCATGACTGATTGAAAACCAGAAGCATTCAATGTTTTTTTTTTTTTAGGAAAATCTAGTGATGTGACTTACATGCAGTCCTCTGCTCTATTTAAAATAATAATAATAATAATAATAGTAAAATGTTTATTTAACAATGGTCTCAACCTGGAGGGCCGTAGCTCTGCATACTTTAGCGTCAACCACCTCCAACTCACACCTGCCAAATAGATTTTAGCAGTCTTAACTGCCTTGATTAGTTGGATCAGCTGTGTTTGATTAGGGTTGGAGCGAAACTGCAGAGCTGCAGCCCTCCAGGAATTCAGTGTGAGACCCATGTTTTATTATATATTGACTTAACAGTAAATTGCAGCATCTGTGCAAACATTCCTATGATCAGATGCTTTCGTTACGCTGAGCAAAACTAAGTATCATCGGGTTATGTTTAGCATAGACATTTATTCCCATGTTAAAAATATTTATTTTTCGACGTCATTCCTGCACCGCCATTGTAAATATACTCTTACAATATACATCATTTTGCTCTTAGTTATAAAAAATTAACATTATCACTGATCAAATATTTACGCTCTCCAAAACAATTATTCAAATTCAAGATAATATTGTAAATGATCTATGAATAGACCTTTCTTAAAAGCTTGCACAATGCTGATAAAAGTATCGCAAGATCAATGATGTTGCTCAAGAAACAGTATCGTGTTTTGTTAAAATAGCAACTGCCCCAGAATGTGAACATGTCTTTGTGCTAAGTGGTTTTATGTATTTTGTTTGCTAAAGATCTTATCGAAGCCTATGTCTTGTGACCCTTATTTTCAATCTGCAAAAGCAGGGGGAAAAATAGTGGAGTTGGTTTAATGAGTCCATCAGCCTTTCAGAAATACTACATTAATAATGCAAAGATGCTGTTAGAACACGCACACACACACATGCTGGAAATACGCCTTCACCGTTCACTCTGTTTCTGGAAGAGAAAAAAGTTTCAATGCTCAAAACTCAATAATCAATCCAGGGTTTGAATGTTGACCTCAAGATCATATTTGCTATAGGGCACACTAAACATACATTAGTTATGATTCTGAGTGTTCTGTGTGGATGAGGTTTGCAATACTTGAATAAACTGGGTGTTATGACCCATTTCCACAATCTTGTTCAGTAAAGCACAATTCATAACACAACTATTGACATTTACCTTTAGTAAGCACAGCCGAAACAGATTCATGCCCACACAGACTTCTGGCAAAAGGAAAATGCCTGTAGGGGGTGCATAATGTGTACAATTACATCAAATTATTATTATGAAATTATTACAGAAGCTAAAGATCACCTCAGAGCTACATTTTATTTAAAATGCAGTGATTTCAGTGCACTTACCCCACACTCGACAGCAGTCTGGAGGTCTCTGCAGCTGTATTTTGGTCCGAGACTACAGGGGTCAGCCGTAATCACAGACTCCTTATCATCAGAAGGGCACAAATTTGCACTCTAGAGGGTCCAGAAAGCAGAAAAACAATTCAATTTAATAGTGAATCTTTAAAACGTTACAATCTTGTATAATCACTTGATGCTAAAGAGAATCCTCATGTTCATTTATACGGACGGCAATCAGGGCCAAAAGTTTTTTATAGCAACATGTGGAACTTGGATCAATGCACAGTTTGACAGCATGTACAGCAGATGACTATTTCAAAAAACATTAAAGGTTTTTTTGTTTTCTGACAATTTTTTTTTTAAAGTTGACAATGTCTGATCTTTAAAAACGTCAATATTTATGAAGCTTAATTTAATAGTATAGATAGTACGTCTCATTTTTGAATGAATCCAGCCCAACTCACAATTACATCACATATGCGTAAATACAGCACTATCATTGGCTGTCATATTTGTTAAGGCTTTATCAAACTGTATGTTAACACAATCCATATTGTTGAAAGAATTTTAGCCTAAACGGCCTTCCATAATGGATGAAATGTCTTTGAAAACAAAAAGGTATTTTGATTCTTAATTAATTAAATAAATTGTTTTAAAAAATTACTGTAATATATAAAATAAAAAAAGAAATTAGAGATGCATGTAAACTGTAAAAAAAAAAAAAAAAAAAGTAGTTTGTACCTTGCAAGTGTCAAGCGCCCCCTGCTGTTTGCTCAGAAACAGACTGAGTTGTTTTCCATTACGCTCAATGTAAGTCTCGCACTGAAGAAAAAAAGAAGATGCAGAAATGGCTAAAA